GGGCCCTCCCACAATTTTCTGTCGGAATCGACGGAAGCCCGGCCCGGCCAAGCCGGAGGAGGTGGCTGGGCCGAACAATGGACTCTTTTTGAAGCAGTGCATCCATTTTCCCTTCTCTTGAGAGAAAACCCACCTGAAGAAAATCCAAAATTGTCTTTCAAATAACCTTTTACAATTCAGTTTCTCAAAGCAAAACCCAACAATATAAAGGAGCAAAAAAGGGAATCTTGCTCGAGGATTACTAGTAAGAAAAACACAAGAACTATCTGTATGTATCAGCAAAAATTCAACCAACCCAACTTCAAAAATTGGAGCCATAAACAGAAAACAAGAAAAACAAAACCAATAACAGAGCAAAAAACATAACAAAATCTGTACTTGCATTGTTCTAAAGGATGATTATTGTGACAAGGGAACCTAAATAATCTGCAAAAAATAAAATATAAGTTTCACCCAGAACATAAAAACATTAAAGATCACTTTTTTATCAGCACTCTTTATCCAAAGACAATTTATCAACACATACCCCACATCATACAGCAAAAATATCCAAAATTTAGAAAAAAAAAACCCCCAAATGTTAAACCCAGCAAAAAGGAAGCTGCAATACCTTTTTGGGTCTTGAAGAGATGAAGCTTGTGATTCGATTTCGTGGGGTCCCAGAAAGAAAGTGTCTTGATTTCAGTTGGAGCCAGCAAATTAAGAGCCATATCTTATCAAGAAAACACACGCAGCTGCAAGAGAAAAGCTGAAAATTAGAAAGCAAATTCTTACACGGTTTTTCTCTACAATGGAAAAAAAACAAGCTCAGAGTCTGGGCTATGGAGAGAGAGTGACGAGAGAGAGAGAGGGGGGTGAAAGCTGGTATAACGTGGCGCATTAGGTGTGTGCCTGTCTTATAACGAAGTCTGAGGTATCAAGATGAAGTTGAAAATGACCCCAATTAATCCAATTTCTCGTCTCATTTTAAATTATTTAATGTGCAAAACGAATTTTCTTATTTTCTTAAATAATAAATATTAAAAAA